AAACACATCCATTTTATTCCTATTCACTTCTCCATGATTGCCAGCTATGGGCCATGCCGAGTGCGTTGTTTGCCTAGGGGTTTTTGATCATCTAGAGGATTGTCAAGGGTACAAGAACCCGTGTCTGGTTTCTGTACCCAGAGTTCAGCTCAGGGTCAAACGCGGGTGCAGTGTCTAGCAGCACATACAAGGGAGGCATCAAACCCCCCTCAAACAGCCAACACTGGAACTGCCATCACATGAGGGTCAAGATCTCATTGCTTAAACCTGACTGGTTTACATGGACCTTGTTGGACACCAGCCAAGCAAGAAAAAGTTGCTAAACAGCAAGAGTCAAAGCCAAAGTGAAATCCAAAGGCCAAAGTACTCGGGCCAACCTGAAAATGGTTTCACCCCAGTTGTAAATACTTGTTTGCTATCCCAGTTCTACTTAAGCCACCATCATTAAGGAAGTTGGACTTTCAAGGAAAAATGGAAGAAATTCTCTTCAGAGCTCTGTGGGAACAGGGTGGATCATGCAATGCTTATTTGTGGCATGGTAGGCAATACCTGACCATTCTTTATGGCTCACTTGGCTGCTGTTTCCACCAGCAAGCCTGCTGTGGCTTTCCAGTTCAAGCTAGGCAGCCTTCAGTGGTGCCATGATGGCAGCTCTATGTTCTTCTCTTAGGACTCCTCACATGTAGTACTGTTTTGCTTCTTGCCTGCTTTTACCCTTCACTGCTGTTTTCCGAGAGCCGGGCGGGGGCAGAGGGCTAGGACGTGGCGGGTGAGCAGGTGCATCCTGTGGGGTTGTGGGGATGCTCAGCATGAAGGTGTTCTCCATTCCAAGGAATCAAAAGGCATTCTCAGCTTACAAACATCGCGAATCCAACTACCCACCTATCTTTCAACCAAAGCAGCAGTGCAAGTGGCTCTTGTGTCGCGAGGAACATTTGACAGTGGGTCGCCAGAGCCTTTTCAAATGACTTGAACCAAAACTGCTGCTGACACAAGTCCTTAGAAAAGTAAGGATAAACACAGAGGAAGTGTAGCACTGTGCGCTACTGTTACAGTAGGAAAAAGTCAAATGTTCTCAGTAAGGAAATACAAAATTAAAGATAGCGCCATTGGGTTGCAAATTGTATAGCTATGGGGGAGCACATTTTTGAATGAATATTTAATGAGCTGGGAAAACTTTTGTCCTATAGTATTTTTTTTTTTTTTTTTGGCTAGCTCAGTCTGCCTTAAGGGTGGGTCTGGTGTGGCTTGTGGAGCTAGGGATCAAATTGCGGTCCCCTGCACCTGACTGAATTTGCCCAAGCAGGGGCTTTAAACAAATGAACTAACAGGCAAGCCTCCTGTCCTACAGTATTAAGTGGAAAAAAAAAACCCATAAGATTATATAGTTTAACGGATCCATTATAAATCTCTTTTTTTGCCCCTCCACACACATAAGAGAAAAAAATATTTGTAAGAAAGATATCCATTGCCATCCACGAATAATTCTGTGACACATTTCACTGCATTTTCAAGCCTCTGTTAAAGTATATTTTACTTTTAAAATTAGAATAAAAGGAAGTTAGGATAAAAATACATTGTAGCTTTCATTTTTTGTGTTTCTTTTTTCTCCAACTCTCAAATCAGTAGTGTGGTTCAGAGGCTGTGGGATAAAATTGCAAAGGTGATTTTTTTTTTTTTTCTGTCCTTAGGATTGTTTCAACTGTGGCTATAACCAGATATCAAGGAATTCTGAACTGGCTCCTTCTGAGTAATTAATTATTGTTACCAAGGCAAAAATGATATTGTGAAGCAAAATAGGCAGAAGAGAGGGTACAGGTCATGGAAGAGTAGTCACTTTCAAATGCAATCTCTACCCTCCTCTCTTGCCGGCTCCAGCTCCGTGGATGTGGGACTGGTCACACAAGGTGTTCCCTCTCTTCCCCCAAAGCCAGTGGCTCTGCCTGGGTTGTAGCACATCTCTTTTTATGGGCTTCTTTCCTTTTTTCTCCTTTCTATATTCACAAGGCCATAATGAAGGGACCATTGAAATATGTAGAAGGCTCTTTGTCCATCAGAAAATAGATGGAATATAAACATAAGTAGGGGGCCGGCGAGATAGCTCAGCAGACTAAAGCGCCTGCTTAGACAAGCTTAGGCAAGCTCAGGGATTGCTGATTGATCCCTCGCACCACATGCCACGCCAGCCCCACCCCCAGGGTGGGCTTAGCTGGCTACAGTCTGGGCATAGTAGCACATGCCTGTAATCCCAGTGCTGGGAAGACTGAAAGTAGGAGGATCACCATGAGACCAAGCTGCATAGTGAGACCCTGCAGCAACCGAACACATTAAAAAAATTATTAAGGGCATTATTATCACTATTTTCTTAAAAATAATAAATACAACTTTAAAAAGCTTAAGTAAATAATGATGATGCTTGCTACACCTATCTTTCACCAAGTGAGGCAGTTCACGCTCTCCATCTCTTCCAGGACTGATGAAAGGAAATTGATCTTAAGATCTCTCACTGAGTTCTCAGCCTTTTTCCTTGAACATTCCAGTTTGGTTTTAGATTTGGTGGTAACAGGATTGGTACCACTGTGTTTTATGTGAGGATATTTCATTTCATTAGGTTCTGAACAATCAGAGAACAGTTTTTCTATGTAACAGTTTTAGTTAATACCAACAACCTATTAATATGAACAAAATGTTAAAGCTTGAGACCAAATTTGTTTACAGAACTAATTACTTGGAATCACCTCTAGGAGTCAGAAATGGGCCAGGAAGGTGGCTCAGTAGGATAAGCGCTTGCCTGGCAAGCACAAGGGCCTGCGTTCAACCCCTGGTTCTGAAAAAAAAAAAAAAAAAAAGTTCTAGGAGTCAGATAAATCAGGTTTCAAGCATCGTTACACTAGGGTTGGTTTTTAGCAATGTTTTCACTTAAACTATAATTGTAACCATAAAGCTAATGAGTAGAAGTTCTACCTATGTAGCTAGTACAAGTTCTTAGCCATTAGCTTTAAATATGCAGTTTAGTTTTTTAAAAAAAATACAAGATACAAGGAGATCAGAAACTATACTTATTTTTCTCTTTCTCATTCTCTCACCTCTCTCTCTCTCTCTCTCTCTCTCTCTCTCTCTCTCTCTCTCTCTCGTACCCGGGACTGAACTCAGGATCCTGTACTTGCCAGGTAGGCACTAATGCCACTGAACTATCTCCCTGGCTCACTTTATTTTTCTTTCTCTGGATAATCCCTTAGGAATCCAATCTAACAGTAAGAGAAAGAGAAGGAGGAAGAAAATGGAGGAGGAGGAAGAGAAGGAGGAGAAGGAGGAAAAAAAGAGAGGAAAAAGAAAAAGAGGAACAAGATGAGAAGGAGGAGGAAGAGGAATAAGAAACACCCAAGCAATAAAGTAGTACAAGGTTCACACAAAGAATAAAGTTTAACATACAACTTGAGCTCTCTCTTTAAATTGGTTAAGGAAGAAAATCATGTTTCTGATTCTTGCTGCATTTACTTGTTCAACAAGCCATGTGCTCCGGACATGCACAAATAGGGCCAGATTTTTGGCCCTATCCCTTAAAAATTGTGTAAATTTGGGCAAGTTGTTTATACAACTTCCCTATACCCAAGTTTCCTCATCTGTAAATGGAAGATAATACGATTACCTAACTTAGCATGTTAGATAAGCAAATGTATTCAAAAAAGTTTCGAATAGCCCCTGACACACAGTAAGCCAGATGTGGCAGCCCAGTGCTTATGGAGTTTACAGTCTAGTGGCCACTTGAGCAGAGTAGGTAGTGAAACACTTACAAGAAATTACACAGGTCATGGCTTCTTTACAACTGTGTTGAGTACAACACAGGAAAAATGTAGAGTGATAAGAGCAATCCATGGGCTGCTCTCCCAAGGAACTGCACAAGTTAGGCTTTTCCTATTAAGACTCTTGTACACTTTTGTAAAAATCTAGAACACCTCAAGTTTCCACTATCCTATATCCACCCATTATATGTGGTTGGGCTGGAAAGAAATGAAATGTAACAGTTACGAACCTCTAATATGAAGAAGAGGGAACATTCCTATATATCAAGGCACTTACAGATTAAATCCTAGCCCCCGAGGAAGAGAAGATATCCCATCTGTTTGATTAAAATGTCAGGAACCAGTCAGGCGCTTCCTAAAGATTACACATAATATCAAATATTTTATTTTTCGACGTGGATTTTTAGAGATACCAGCTTTTTAGGGTTCTTACTCTTTTGGGAGAAAAATTGGGGGAAGCACATCCCTGTTTCAAAGCAGCAGAATTTGGCATAGGAGATGGGAGTGGATAACATTTTTCCAGTTCTGTATTTCTCCATGTAAGATACTACTTTCTGATAAGAGGCGAAATCCACTTGTATCTACAGTTAAAATAAAACTTCACAGTACTTTTAAGTTAAATAACTAACATAACAGCCTGGTGATTGATAGCCCATGAATTACAAAAAGAGAAAGAAAGAAAAAAAGAGCATTTGTGGGCCCTTCAGTAGCACATATTTATAAATTGGATAAAGCACAATTTAATTTTGAACAGAAGAAGAATTAAACTGTTATGTACATACAGCAAGCAACTCCTTATGATGAACGCAATTATTCTGTACTGGAAATACGTACTGATAAAGATTTAAAAATAAATTTAGAAGCGTACAAAATTAGAACAACTAATAAAGTCAAGCTGTAAGACAAGTGATGTCATAAAATTTGTGCACATAGATTTTGCGTAGAGGAAGTCACCAGGACTCTTAAAGGCTGAGGGTCCGCGGGCCAGACGCCCCACTAGTCGGGTCGCCCTTGTCACATCCCTTCCTGATCTCTCCCCATCTCTGGGGCCTGCCTTCGTCCTAGAGCACCCCTCCCCGCTCCTCGTCCTCCAATCCCATCCCGCCTAGCTCTCCGGCGACCAATCAGGAGGCAGATTTTCCGAGGGAGGGGGGAGCAGGGCGGAGGGCGGCGCTGATTGGCGGACTTGAAGCCGCCTACTTTAGCCTCAGGGCCCTGGACGCGACTGTCCACTGAGGGTGCAGACGCTCGAGCAGAAGTCCCAGGCCACTTTCTGCCGCGCTCATCGGACACCATGGCGGATAGCCGGGACCCAGCCAGCGACCAGATGAAGCAGTGGAAGGAGCAGCGGGCGGCGCAGGTAGGCCGCGCCTGGGCCCCGAGGCTACCCGCGGGTAACGGAGCAGGGGGAGTCCGGCCCCGGGCGGTAGCACCCGACGCGGACGGCTGGGGCGCGGGGCGGTGGGCCGGCGCGCTGGCGGGGAGCGGGGTTCCGGGCGTGGCGCGCCGGGGCTGCGGGGTTCGCCCTTGGATTCTGCGCTCGGGAGGCTGGCTCGGTACTTTGCACTTGCGCCAGCTGGGACAGAGGTCACAGCGGAGGGCGGGATCGGGACAAATGGGCCAAGAAGCCGACGGCGAGCGGCAGCTAGAGAGGAAGCGAGGGCAGAGGGACCCGGCCGGAGCTTTAACCTTCCTGTTTTCCTGTTTGTGGGTTCCCGGGCTGTTTTAATACTCTTCTTGATCCCAGCAACGATCAGCGGTGACACTTGTAGCAGTACAGCATTAAACCACTAAATAAAAATAATTTTAAAATCTATTGTTTCGTTATATTCGTCAGGCCTAGAATTTTAGAGCTGGCAACGTTAGACAGCAGAGGTGGGTTGTTGGGCAGATCCGCAGGATTCTCTGCGTGCCTGCGTGTGCTAGGCACCGCTGGCCGCGGCTTGTAATTGCAATAAGGCAAGAGCCTCGCTGGGAGAAGTTCCGAGTCTAGCCTGCGACACGAGTCTCATAAACAGATGATTTTTATTCCCCCCCCCCGTCCCCCCTCCCGCACCCCCGGAACTGGGGACTGAATTCAGGCCCTTGCGCTTGCCAGGGAAGCGCTTATTCTTCTGAACCATCTCCCCGGCCCTAGCAAGTCACAAAAATAAGCGACCCTGTTTAGCGTAAAGGGTGCGACGCAGTTGGCTGCCAGGCTCCCCAAAGCGAGTGACATCCGAAAGAATCTTTAGAGGGGTTTCAGCCCAGGTGGCTGGGGAAGCATTTCTGGCCCGTGCCCAAGGGGGCAAAGTCTCAAGGGACATCCTTGAGGAGGTGGGATTAAATGAGCCTGCGTCTGATTGGTGCCAGCCTTTGGCAGATTGGGGCAGAATGTCGTGCCCGGGTCTCATGACTGCTGGTTAACTTGGCAGAGAGAGTACTAGAGCCGTGCTTTGCCTGGTCCTGCCTAGTTCTGTGTTCTCAAAACTGTGCTAATCGTGTTGGTGATGGGGGGGAATCCAAGGCAAGTGTTCAAGATCTTGGCCGCATTCTTTGTTTTAGACTACTAGGAAAGTTCCGTTTTTCGTAAATTCTTTCACTGAACCCAAGACACTTAGAGCTTTAATCAGAGACATGAAGCTGGTTGGTTCAGGGTCAAGATTAGAATTGAGTTACTTGAGGCCAGGACTGGCAGCCTACCGGGGGCGGTGCTAAATCCCCACTCATGCTCAAGTTTTCATGAATACTTGATGAGCTGAGAAAAAAAATGTGCACTGTACGGTGACATTTTTATGAGGTATATTCATTCAGTCTGTTCATTTCCAGAGCACTCACCTTTATTCTGAGATGAGCTGGCCTTTTGCTTGGGATAGTCATTAACTGTAAGGTCCCTGCTGTTGATTTCCCGAGGTAGTGTCCAAGTGAGGAACAGCTGGCCAGAAAGCATATCTGTAACTGGAGGACTCAGTTCAATTCCTAGTACCACCTCTGCCCACGAGATCTGCGGGCACTGTGCATGCCATCCTGTTTGCAGGTACACTGATGCCTTGTTCTTCAGTTTTTGCTACTCCGAGTGAAAATTGCTTTGTTTTGGTAGTGGGGTGACACTTTTACCCTTCAAAAGGAATTTTGCTCCTGCCACATAGCCCACATAATTTTCAAATACTTTATTATGAAACAAATTGAAACATTCCAAAATTGAATTGTGCAGCGTGTACCTATACATATAGCACCTAGATTCTGCCTTTAGCATTTTGCTGTAGGTCTTTTGATACCAAGTTATTTCGTATGTTTATCCCTTCATATATTTAGTAACTAATAATTTTTTAAATGGATCTCAGAGTAGTATACTGGAGATGTTAGTGTACTTTATCCATAAACAGTGAGCGTGCAAATTAAGAGATCAAAGTGCATTTATGTTTTTAAGGTGATATTTCTATATAGTGTCATACATAAACAGTAGGTGTATTACTCTATGGCTTTTAATAGATATACAGACTATTAAATTGTAAACCTTTTCCAAGATATGGAAATAATCATTACCCTGGAAAGTTCCCTCATATTGTTTCTTAGTTATTTCCTGCAAATTTATGTAGTTTCACTCCAGGAACCATTGCTCTGAATTTTTAGAAACATGACTGTATATTCTTTGTTTTTTATTGCAAAATATTTCTTTTTTCTTTTTTTTTTTTTTTTTTGCGGAACCGGAGATTGAACTCAGGCTCTTGCGCTTGCCAGGCAAGCACTTATTCTACTGAGCTAACTCCCTGGCCTCCTGCAAAAGATTTAATTCAGCAAAAATGTTTTATGATTCATTCATGCTGTTGCATGTGCCAGGGGTTTGTTTTTTATTGCTGAATAGTATTACATTATATGAATAGAATTCCATTTGTGTATTTTGTTAATGAATAATTAAGTGATTGGTTATTATGAACAAAATTGTTATGAATATTATTATTCCAGTCTTTTAATACTCCCTTGCTTTCAGTTTTCTTAGCAAATGCAGGGGAGTGGGTTTATTGGGTTATAGCTTAAGTGAGGAACTGCCTGTCCTGTCCCAAAGTGGGGATGCCATTTTATGCTGCCACCAGCAGTGTATGGCAGTTCCAGTTGCCCCACGTCCTGTCAACTTTTGGTGTTGTCAGTCTTTTAATTTAGTCATACCTGTGGCTAGGAGGTCACAGCACCTATAGTTTTGATTTGCATTGCTCTGATGGCTAAGGATGCTGGGTGTCTTTTCACGCCCTTATTGATCATTAGTACATATTTCTCAGAAGTATCTGTTAACGCACCTTTTCTCCTTTTAAAAATGTATTTTTTCTTTTTATTGTTGATCTGTAGCCCATGTTTTAAGTTAAAACATCCGAGGAGTAAGCACTGCACTAGTAGAGCCCAGCGTGTAATGAAGTCAACGCATTGGAAATTCCTCTCATGTGATTGGCCCAAAGTGGTCCGCGGCTGAAGTTGGGGGCGGGGCGCACGTCACTCCCAGCAATGTCGGAGGCCCGACGCGCTTTGGCCAACAGATGGGCTTTACGGTGCCAGAAGCAAGTGTCTTCCAGCGGAGAAGGGTTAGGTGTAGGAATCGTCACTGCCACTCACATCCCCTGGGCTAGAACTCCCTTACAGGACACTCCGAACTGGGAGGGAGGCTGCGAAGGCCACCTGCCTGTGTCCGGGAAGCCAACTCCACTATATTGTCCAAAGGGTATGTTCCACATCTGATGAAAATTGGACTGTCCATTTTCTCATGGTGTGGCAATGGGCTGACAGATGTGATCTTTAAAATAATATGTCCAGGGCTGGGGATATATATAGCTCAGCGGCATTACAAAAAAGTCCCTTTTATATTCTGTCATTAAGATAGCCTTTATTTTGATCTTTTACAGAATTTTAAGAGATTTAAACTTTGCCCCTCTAGGAAGACACTCTGCTGAGTCATCCTGACTGAGCCCGATGCCGAATGCCAAGCTGGGTGGCTCCTTCTTTGCACCAAGGAGTCCCAACGCGAAAGCAGTCTATTTATTGGGCGTTTCTCCCTGTGGACAGATGTTGTTGCTGACAAGTGAACTGGGAGATCTGTAAACTTTAATAGTTGAGCATTGAATCAGATGTTTTTGGAGGCATGAACCGGATCTGTCTTCACCTTCATCTGTCTTCATCTCTAAGTACATCGGTGGAAGACAGTCCTACAGGTGTCCCCAGGCTCTTTGGGTAGAATTTAAATGAGAATGTTGGTGCTCACTGCTTAGGATGCATGAGCTCTTCCTTTGGGACAGAAAGTGGCCCCCTACAACAAGTGGCCCCATCCCAGCTGGTCACCCTGGAACATCTGAATACTTTGCATTTTACCTTTTAGATAGCTAGTACTTGGGAGAGGAGAAGAGAAGAGACGAGCGGAGAGGAATGGAGAGGAAAGGAGAGGAGAGGAGAGGAGATGAGATGGTAGAGCTTTGCCTGTATGAAGAGCTAGTATCTCAGTGTCATCATGGGAAAGTAAAATGTAGAGAAATAAATTGCCAGTGAGGTCATGCCACAATGTGAACCTTGTCTGATTCTGAAGCCTGACTCTTTAGTGAATCATTCATTAGGTTAAGGTTTGTTTGTTTGTTGTGCAGGGTCTCACTATGCAGCTTGTACTCATAGTGATCCTCCTGATTTCTCCCTCCCTAGTGCTGGGATTACAAGCATGCACCAACATGCCCAGACTCCATTGCCAGCTCCACGCACCCGGGGTTGGGGTTGGTGTGGCATGCGGTGCCAGGGATCGAACCCTGGCCCCTGCACTTATCTATCTAAGCAAGCGCTTAGTCTGCTGAGCTATACCACCAGCCCTGTATTTGTTAGATTAGATTACACTACGTGACTATGCAGTTTGCTTAGAACCACCACAAGAGGACAAAGAGTTAAGAGGCATATCAAAGAAGAAAAGGTGTGAATCTCATTGAGCCTGGATTTAAACAATGTTGCAGTCCTGAGAGATAGATAGATAGATAAATAGATAGATAGATAGATAGATAGATAGATAGATAGAGACAGAGACATGAGAGAGTCCAGAGAGAGACACACAGAGTCAGAGACAGAGACACACTGTATGAGGGGTCCCCAAGTCCACCCCTGAGTTCAGTGCTTCCCTAGGATGCCCAGGACCCAGTCTGTAGTGAAAGTCATAGCTCAAATTTATTATAGCAAAAAAGAAAAACGCAAAGCAAAATGACCAAAGAGAAAAGGCACATGCAGTGTGGTCCAAAGGCACCCAGCACAGGCCTAAGCCCTTCAGCAGTGAGCTCTGGCCATTCATGAGAAAGGAAGCCTAACCTGGAAGCCTATTGGAGGTTCAGTGTCCAAGCACCTCGTTAGAAGCTGGCCATGCAGGCA